TATATAATATTAATTTTGTATATTCTATGGCATACCCCTAATAGCAATTATCACATTTTCCTACAAGTTTCCGCTCTAAGATTTCAGATATTTGTAGATGGCATATCCACTGTACAGTAGAGCCTAGACATTGAGACGCTTGCAACTGCACTTGATCACATAGAGCGTGAAGGCCAGCAGACCCAGAATGCCCCAAATGGAGCTGTTCTGGTTGGAGCCGTCGCCGATCTGTGACCGAATCCAGTCGACGTGGCTGGCGACATCGACGAAGACGGACGACTGGCTGCGCAGGCCGAGCAGCTGATTGGCCGTGGTCAGTGGAGCGCCTGCATCCAGCTCATATGCCTGCTCGTCGTACTTCACGCAGAGCTGTTGGCCGCAGGGCGAGCGCTTCACGCAGAGCCGCAGCAACTCGTGCACCTCGTGCCCATCCTCGCCAGCCAAGCCCCAGCTGCTGATGTGCCACGGCTCGGATGTCGTCTCCAGCTGGGCGGTGTCCACGGACAGCGCAATCGGCTGGATGCGCGTGAGATGCGCCGAAACATCCTGCTCGAGCATGAGTATGGCCAGGGACAGCTGCTTGGGCGGCTTGTGCACGTGAGTCACGCCCAGCACCTGGCCATGAGCCGTGGGCGAAAAGCGCTGAGTGCTGCCCAGCACGACGCGCAGCTCCGCTGGATGGTAGAATCTCATGTTGTCCTGGCTACAAAAGAAAAGAAGAGCCATTTGGCAATCAGTCTGACTCCAATGCACAGCATCTGCTGGACACCTACTCATAGACGCACTGCGCCACAGTCAGCACCACGGAGGGAGCCACCAGTGCACCCGAGCAGATGTGACCCTTGCCAAAGTAGTCCAGCTCCTGGTCGAGCAGCCGTATGGAGGCCTGATACGGTGCCGCCGATGCGGACGAGCCTATGCGGCGCTTCTTAGCCACCTCCGAGTGTGTGTAGGCTGAAAGCGAGAAGCAAAGGAGCGTGTAGGTTAGGTTAGTTAGGTTAGGGGCCTCTAAGATTGCCTCGCATATGCTAAGTGACTAGACTTTAGGGCTTCTGCTTAGGAACTCTTATAAACCTAGTCTATTTAAAATGGTATTTAGCCGTAAGTCGTATACCTTAATCTGTAATCCATAGGCTGAACCACTAAGATATTCCACATCAATTCATAAAACTTAGCTATCATCATTCAATTTCTTCAGTTGAAGTAACGGTGAAAGTAAAGTTGCCCAATTGATTATCGAAAAGTTTCTGAAGTGGCCTTGGCAACAGGTGAAATGCATTTTATATGGAGTGATCCATGGCGTTGGGCGTATCAATATCAATGCGAACGACTCAGGCGCATTCCCCCATCAGCTGATCGATTGTTTACGAAATTTTTGTTGTTCTATTCGTTTAGTTTGGGGTCTTGGTATTATCGCACGATAATAAAAATTTTTGACGCGCGTGCCTTACGACTGCGCCTATCAATAGTTATTGGTCAGCAAATACGCCGGAAACTACGAAATGGCTATTTGTAGTTTGGCCTTCAAGTCTGTCACAGTCAAAACAGCTGAGCATAGCTATAAGACTTGACGTAGTGGCTGGCCACTGCTCTATAATATCCAATATCAGTATTATCTATTCATAGCTTGGAGAGATTTCTGCGGACTACAATCAATTTTAATTAATATTCTTATGTGTTTTATCTAGATATATGCCGTAGATAAAAAAAAATTCTTTAAATTAAAAGACCCGCAATTCTTAAAATAAAATTACATTCATATTGAGATTTCTAGAAAACATATTTTGACTAAGGGCAAAGTCTGTCGAGTATGCACGAATATAATAAAAAATGTTAATTTACATATATTCTATACAGCGATAAGCGCATACCACCCTGATAAATAAATATTTTAAAACCGATTATATTTAAGAATTCGTAGCACCCAAACACGGTTAAATTGCTCAAACATTATATTATTATA